ATTGAGTTTTCTACAGAAAGAGTTGACAGTAGTACTATTACAAAGGCGACTCTGCCAAAGTTTATATAGATCTCAGGGAGTTAAACATTCGAGGACGAATGTTTCTAAGGAGGGAAGGATGTTACATCTCGCGTTTTCGTACGTAAAAGTTTCGTCGTAAGCTAATCGACGTAGACTCGGGGATGAGATTATCTTGAGGTTATAAGCATTTATGCTATTTATAACAAGCGATAAGTAAGTGCCGTGAAGGATAAAGGGGAAACGAATCAAAGAAAATAAGTTTCGTTGAAAGTTATCGATTTGGATAAAATACGGTCCGAGCTTCAATACCCGACATTTATGGACTAATGTCATACAAGGTACCCCATGACCACGATAGTATGGTACATAAAATATATTAAAAGTGAGTAGTATTTTAAGTAATTTGAGATAATTTTTAATTGTGTGGATAATTGGTTAATTACTGGGTAACGGAATATTACCTAATTAAATTAATAAGTTAAGTGGATAAAGACTAAAATCTCCCCCTCCACCCCACGTGGCAGCAAATCACTTCTTAGACAAATGACTCTTAGTCATTTTGGTTAGGTGGCAAAGTAATGTGTTAATTACATAATACTTCATTTCTTATATCTTGAATACACTTTCCTGGCTGCTTACCAGTACTATATTCAGCCAATTCCAAGCATGCAAATGTGGCATGAGTCTACCAATCCATCAATTGAGCCTCCTGAATTTAAACCAATGCCTGGTAGGCAAAACAAATACAGAAGAAAGGACAAGGATGAACCAAGGAAGTGGGAAAAACTATCAAAAAAGGGTGTTAAGATGTCATGTTCTATTTGCAAACAAATTGGTCACAACAAATCAGTATGCAGTTTAAGGGTAAGTTTGATGACTTCCATTTCAATTTGATTTCATTTTTTTCATAGTACTTGATTAATGACTTATCAATCATATACTAGGGACAAATAAGCACACAAGTTGGAAGGTCAAATGGAACAACACAATCAAGCACACAAGCTAGTAGTCAAAGTTATACAACCTAAGCTGCAGGTACATCAACTACCACAATCTAAACTTCAATGGCCCCATCTTCCTTGTGTGCTAAAACATCTAAAATAAGAAGGAACACACCATCAGTAAGAGGTAGAGGAACTGTAGGAAGTGGTGGTAGGGGAAGAGGTGGAAGATCACTTGCTGCTTCTGTTACATCTGGTGCATCTATTTCTGCTACTGCCATATCACTTGCTGCTTCTGTTAGAAAGAAAAGGACCAGAAATTATGATTTTGGTTTGTACACAGACACACAAACATGAATGAGTACCCTTAATGTAAGTGTGAGAAGTGTTATTCAATATTAATTAACTGTATTTTCTATCCTTAGGCTTCTTCATTATTCATTACTAACTAATTGTATTTTCTAGCCTGGTAGGCCAAGTGAAAGACTTATTTCAACCGGTACAAACTTGATGAATGCTGCACAAACTAATGTAGATCTTGGATTTAGACCAAATTGTTATATCTCGTATTTTCGTACGTAAAAGTTTCGTCGTAAGTTAATCGACGTAGACTCGGGGATGAGATTATCTTGAGATTATAAGCATTTATGCTATTTATAACAAGCGATAAGTAAGTGCCGTGAAGGATAAGGGGGAAACAGATAAAAAAAAAAGTTTCGTTGAAGGTTGTCGATTTGGATAAAATACGGTCCGAGCTTCAATACCCCGCATTTATGGACTAATGACATACAAGGTACCCCATGACCACGATAATAGGGTACATAAAGTATATTAAAAGTGAGTAGTATTTTAAGTAATTTGAGATAATTTTTAAATGTATGGGTAATTGATTAATTATCGGGTAATCGAATATTACCTAATTAAATTAATAAGTTAAGTGGATAAAGATTAAAATCTTCCCCCACCCCACGTGGCAGCAAGCCACTTCTTAGACAAATGACTCTTAGTCATTTTGGTTAGGTGGCAAAGTAATGTGTTAATTACATAACACTTCATTTCTTATATCTTGAATACCAAAACACTACAATCAGATTACTATAAATTCCTTACAAAACTCTACAATCAGATTCTAAAACACTACATTAGCAACGTGATTTCTTCAAGCAATTCCTACAAGTTTTCAACAAAACTTCTTGCAACCAAACAATTCCAACGAGAATTACTAGCACCTTAGCAACGTAAAATTTTGCAGTTCTAAATGAGTACGGTGCAACCTTTTTCAAGAATATCATATGAATTTTTTCCTACTCCAGGTATGTTAAGGCTATCCCTTCTTTCTTTTTGGCACGATCCAAATAATACAAATAGAACGAGCAAAATATGCAACTTTCATAAATGACTATATTCATAGAAATACTAGGGGTGTCTATATTCTTGATTCCCCATATGAATTATTATTATATCTTCTGTTCATGGGTCTCAGAAAAATACGTATTTGATAAAATTTATCCGAAAGGCATATTGATTTTTATGACATTCCGAGAAGTCTCATTAATGTATTTCTTATGCATTTCATGCATTTATATATGTATATTGACCAATGACCAGATGGCGTTATATATATATATATATATATATATATATATATATACACACCAACTGATCAGGTGGTGGTGCGTATATAACGCCGTAACTTTTTCTCAGATATGAGAAAAAGTTACGGCGTTATATACGCACCACCACCTGATCAGTTGGTATATGTTGATGATTTTGCTCACAGTGGCCGAGATGATATGATGGGATGCCCTCAGAGGCTTGATGATGTTATGTACACCTATACCTATGCATGGCACAACATTTACACGCACGTGCATGATATTATAACTGTTTTAGGATTTGCAAAGTTATTTAGACTTACAGGCGAAATTCCTTATTCCATATTTTATCTATGTCTCTTATATACTTATTTTCATGCCTTACATACTCAGTACATTATTCGTACTGACTCCCTATTTCCCGGGGCCTGCGTTTCATGCCCGCAGGTGCAGGTAGGCAAGCTGATGGTCCCCCTTCTTAGGATTCTTGATCAGCGAGAATTGGCGTGCTCCACTTGATCCGGAGCTGCTTTTGATTTTGGTACGATATGCTTGTATATATATATGGGCATGACGTGGCCCAGTCCCGTCGGCTTCCAGTTTTGGGTATATAGTTGTCTATAGCAGCCTTGCCGGCTCACCCACTGTATTTCACATGTATATGTACATATGTCTTTTGGATAGGTTTTCCTCACATATGTTATTCATATTTATATCTTAAACGCATGATTAAGGAGGTTCGACATTTAGGATTCGGGCACCCATTGCGGCCCATCGGTTTGGGTCGTGAGACAAATGGTCTTAAGTGGAAAGGGAATAAATTTGTGAAAGGGAATCAGCTTCAAAAGCAAAGGGATGCTGCAGTTTCCAACAAAAAGATGAAAGCTGGAACCTCTACTTCATCTACACCAGTTGACTTTTGTGAAAATCAAATTTAGGAAGAAGTTTCTTGTATTTTGTTGGTCATGTATATGAACCATATTTTGTGAACTATTTTGAACCTATTTATGTTGGTCATTTGGTCATATGTATGAACCTTACTTTCGTGTGTGATGTATTATGAACCTGCTTTTGTTAGTCTAGTTTTTCGGATTAGTCCACCTTTGCTATTATGATATTGACAGTATAATTTTTTGCAATGGGGATGAGATCAGATTAGTCCACCTTTGCTTCAGCAGTCTAATTTTTTGCAGAAACTGAAACACAATTGATCATTGAAAATTTCATCATATACGTTATAAATTTCAACTACATTGAATAGGAAACATTAGCCATAAATCAAAAATAACATCACAGTAAAATAAATGGGGTTACATGCCCATATATATATACCATACACCTAAATAATAGAAGATTCCCTCAAAAACCAAGTCATAGCTACAATTACAAGCAGCCACACTAATATCCTCTGTTTCTTCATCATCTTCGACTTTTCTTCTTCATGATTTTTTAACCCTCTCTAATAATCCATACATAACTTTGGTATAGTGTTCGGACAATTCAACATCATACCAACGAAAAAAATCGCATCCACCATCGACAGCTTTCCCAAATTTACAGCCATAGAATCTTCTACCCGGATTAAATGGTGACCATGAAAGTTTTAAAGGATCAATTTGACCACATTTACAATTAATAATGGGCCCCATTGAAATATAAGAAGTAGAGAGGGAGAAGAAAAGAAATTTTCTTCAAAGGGAGGAAGAAGATATAAGCGGCCGGAGAGGTGAGAGAAGTGAAAATGAATTTTTAGGGTTGAGTTTGAGAATTTAAATTAGGGAGTTCATTAAGGTTTTTTTTTGAAATTTCACAAAAAAATACGTTACATTACTGTTGGGATGACTTACACGCGCGAATCCGGAGGTGTAACACACGTGACGGGGGCTGACGAGGTCGGGCGTTTATTAAATTTACTTTTTAGTCACGTGAAACGTTTAAATGTAAAAGGCCTCAGTTGAGGTGTTCAAATGACCGTTGGGGATAACTTAAAGGGGAGGGGCTCTTTATGTATTTCGCCTATTAAAATTAATAAAATCTTTTATGAGATCATCAATGTTTTAAGAGATATTAATTAATTAATTATATTATCAATCCAAACAAACTTAAAAGAAATCAATCATAAAAGTATTATTAATAAGTTTACATCTCAAAATTCTAAAAAAATATGTTTCAAATAAAAATATATACTTTAAAGTTTTTTGAAGCCAAAGCAACAAGTTTTTCTTGAAGCCTAAGACTAACAATGTCAAAGCTAAGGAAGAAGAAAAGCTAAGCAAAATCTTCATTCATAACCCAAAAATGGCAGGAAATTAAGACCTGGGGTCAAAGTAAAATAAAAGAAACTTAAGGAATAATAATATAGCTAACTTATTAGACTCAAATGTAAAAACTAAAACTTAACAATTAATTCCTCTTTAACACTTCAGTACTACTCTCCCAGCCTCATGTATTATTACTATGCAAAATGCAGCTCAAATTAAGATCATATCAGCGTTTTCCTCCGTTTTCGACATTTGTTCTTCATAATCTGAACCGAATCTGAACCGAGCAAAATCTGAAGAGAAATCCCAAAATTCTGACCAAAAATCTTTGAATTGGATAAAGTGAAGTTTTGCCATCACCAACGTTCGGAAGTAAACGGCTCTATTTTGAATTTCTTGAGTTCGAATCCCGCCTAAACCCTAACCCTAGTTTGCATTTACAAATAGTAAGGCATTGCAGCCATTTCACAGATGGTTCAGCCGCCCCTTTTTAGCCCTCAATCTCACGGTTCAGCCGAAATTCCCCTCACTTTGTTCACTCCTCAAAAAGCTCTTTCAAAAACTAGTTGTTTTTCTTTTAATCTCTCGGCTTTTGTTGGTTTATGACCAAAACAGAGTGCTTTTCGTAGTTCGAGGTCGGAGTTCGATAGTGGATCTAAGACCCCCAGTTCGCTGCCCTAAAAAGGTCAGTGATTTCTCTTTTATATTTCAATTCTGGAGTTTAAACGTCTTCAAGTTTTGGTATATATTGTGAATGTTTCATTGTTTGTCTTGCTGATTCTGTTTAGATATTTAAACGTGCTTGCTAATTATTCCGAATGTTTGAATGAATCACGTACAAGTTTCCTGTGTGTTTAGATTCCATGTCTATAGGAAGTATTTTCTGTGGCATGCCATGTATGTTTTGAGTCAAAGTATTTGTTTGTTCTAGATATAAGACACCATAGTAACCAATTGAATGCTAAAATAGATGTGTTGTGTGAAGAACTTTTCATTTTATAATCTATCACCCATGCTTGCAAATGAAATGGATAACTTTTAATTTATGTGACTCAAAGAGTACAATTTCTATCTATTATCAAAGAATACGATTTCTATCTACTATCTCCTCACTAGATGTTGAAGAAGAAATATGTTCTGTTAAGGCATTAATATGTGCTAGTTTCCTGTGTTCGGATGATAGAAAACATGCCTAAAGGGTCTAAATGGTTTGCTCTTAAAAACTGGTTGAGGAGGAGAAGGGAAAGACCATTAGATTCTACATGAAGAAAACATAGTGAAAGAGCATTAGATTATAAGGTAGATAACATCCATACATTTACTATTTCACATTTCATCTTTGCTTTAGAATATTAGCTTTTCTGTTGGCCTTTTAGAAGGTACCCCCCCCCCAAAACCCCCCATTTCACTAATTGTAAAATTGTTTGGTAAGATGTATACAAATTGTTAGAAAAAGGTATGCTAACACTTGGTGATAGCTGTGGAACCCTCTGGTACCTGTTACCGAAAGCATTAATGTTCACAAACAACAGTTTTTATTTTATTTCTTATAAGGACAACAACAAACATGACATTTCATACTAATATTTTACACCAAATCATCAGCCAGTTTACCAAGGTTGACCTTGTGTAAAATCATGCATGTTATGCAAACTATCCAACTTTTAAAGGGAAAGATGCTTAGTAATTTTGCGTGGCTCTCTGAGAACACCTACTGAAGTTTCACATATGCTTGAGGCTACAGAAAGTTGCTCTTGGTTGGTCACTTTGTACTGTCATGTTTCATAACTCAAATATAGATGACTCCTATAACAAAAAACTCGATACAGAAAGGAACTTGAGGCGTCATGACATCAAAGGTTTAATCCACTGAAGAACAAGTTGCTTAATTTCACAAAGCTATTAAAAGTGAAGTTACTCATAAAGTTGAAGAGATGTTGGACATTCTCAATTTGAAGATCAAGGTTTAGGAGAGTCAAACCAAGAGATGTTGGTATTTGCTAGTTTGTCAAATTCATGTGTAAGTAAGTTTTGCAGCTTAATCCGTATGGAAAAAGGTTTTCTAATTTCTAGCCAAAGTGAATTTCCTGGAGTACTATAATTGAGTGTTCGATACTAAATACTAGATACTATATTAGCATTAGGTTTTAAATATTTCTCTCTCTGTTTCCCAGCGAGGATTTACAACAGAATAGGGCTACAAACACCGCGAGGCTCCAACACCAACAACCACATTCAAAGCAACAAATTTTCTGTCAAGCGGAAACTAACAAGGTCATTGTTGATGATGGTAAGGGTTTTGAGTCCGGTCAGGGAACTGCCGGAGCGATAAGGAAACTGAACAAGGACATTCTCGAACATGATCGAAGCTCAAGCTTCTCGCACGAGAGGAAAAACTCGCTGATCGAGGTTACACTGTACAAGAAGCTTCTGGAAGCGCAGCAAAGCAAGAATGGAGGATTTGAACATTACAGGCAGATCTAGTATTTGAACAAGCCAAAACACACAATCAAAAGATTGTGGATCAGCCATTGCAGCTTTAATTTGATATTGGGAACGTCTCCAACAAAATGTCATTTTAATTTACTATCTGCTCCAAGTTAATAGTTGAAAAACATTTCCTTTTAGCACCATTGGCAATTCTAGAACTACACTTTGTAGCTCTCTTGGTAATTGTAGAACAACTTTTTTTTAGCTTTCTTGCCAATTTTAAGACGCTTCATTGTAGCTCTTTTTGCACCTCTTCTTTTGTACCTCCCTTTTGCTCTGGAAGTCACAAATTATCAATTCAAATAACTCTTTTTAGCTCTCTTGGCAATTTGTGACTTTTAGCACAAATGGGATCTACAAAAGAAGATGTGCAAAAAGAGCTACAAAGAAGCGTCTTAAAATTGGCAAGAGAACTAAAAAGAGTTGTTTTACAATTGCCAAGACTACAAGAAGAATCTAGAACTGCCGATGATGCTAAAAATATATGTTTTTCAACTAACTTGGAGCAGACAGTTAAATTAACACCACATTTTGTTGGAGAGGTTCTACCTACCCAATTTCAAATTATAGCTTCAATGGCTGATCAAGAATCTTTTTCTTTCTGTTCTAGTTCAGGTTTTTAATACAGTGCATTTGATTTACTTGGTTCGAAGTAGATAATTTCTACTTATTTGATGAATTTTCTAATACATTATAAAGTTCGAGCCGAACCTATATCGAATGAACCCATAAAACCTATGCTATATGACTATATCTGCCCCTGATTATACTTTTCTTTTTATGATGGTTCTGTCTAGCTGCTCCAAATTCTTTTCTTCCTAGAAATAAAGGCAAAAAGATTTGATGGAAAATTCTTTTTTATATTTGATTGTTAAATTTGATGAACTAAATTAGATAGTTATATGTAGCAATCACACTTCACGTTGCTTGAAGCACAATTTTCCAAGTAATTTTAGTTGCCTGAAGCATGATTGGATTCAAACTGCGGAAAAATGTAATGTCGAAGTAAATTACAAAAAAGTTGTCTGGTATAAAGCAATTTCAAGAATAATGTGGTATAATTATCTCGGTGAATATTTAGTGAAAGAAGGTTATATGATGAATGAGGTATTATAATCGTTTATATGTCGATGACACAAATCTCAATAGCGCTCTGGAAGACCGTCAAAGCAGTTATTATCTAAATAAAGAAATTGGAATAAAAGATCTCAAAAGACGAGACTTTTTCTTATTTTGCAAATTAAATATTTAGTAGATGAGATTAACCAATCTTCATGTACATTTCTACAAAGCTATATAGATTAAATACATCCATTAACCGGAAAAAAGAAAGATAAAGCACAACCATTAAGTGGGCGTTTGGACATAAGAATTGTAAAGTTCCGGAAAAAAGTGAATTTTTTTTAAGTAAAAATGGTATTTGAAAACTAGAGTTGTGTTTGATCATGAATATAATTTTGGGTTGTTTTTGAAGTTTTGTGAATGATCTGAGTGAAAATTTTGAAAAACAGCTTTTTGGTGTTTTTCAAATTTTCGAAAAATTTTAAAATTCATCTTCAAGTTAAAATTTGAAAATTTATGGCCTGACACTGATTTTGGAAAAAAATAAAAACTTTTCGGAAAAAAGTGAAATTTTTCTTATGTCCAAACGGGCTCTAAATATTCGATCATTTGATGTCAATAAGGGTTATTCATTTCGGCCTCGAGAAGATAATAAAAAATGTCAGGGTTTTAAGGTACCATTGATAAGTGTATTTTATCACATGTTAACCACATAATTTCTCTCATAAAAACATATAAATTATCATGTTTCATCCATTTTTTTAACTTTATTTTGCAGGAATAATTATAAAAGAATTGTTGTGCACAACATGAAAAAAGAAAAATAAATATTCAAGAAAAATATAACAAAGAAGTGTAAGATCGAGCTATGATTTATTACTGTCGTGACAATGCACCAAGTCTCGATTTGCCATGATGAAATCGATGAAATCTAAACTTAGAATAACAGAATTCCCATCTATACAAATTCAAAATCTAGATTTGCAATGGAAATCTAGCACCAAATCGAGAATTTGAATTCTCATATCTGCAAATGCAAAATCTAGATTTGCCATGGAAATCTACCACCAAATCGAGAAGTCATCATGAAATTTTCTTATGGTGCCCGATCAGAGGAGAGGAGGGCAGTAGAGAGAAAGCTTAGAGCTAGAAGTCTGAATCCAAATTCTTAATAAGCTTCTCTATTTTATTTCTTTCACTAGTATCGAGTTATCTTTTCTTTTAAATCACAATAGTGGTTTAGTTGTTGTTTTTAAATAAATTTCAGTGTAGGAAATTACTCTAGTTCCTTTTTAGGGGGGAATTATTCTTCTTGAATATTTCTTTCTATTTTCTTATTTAATGGACAAGAATATTTTCATTGTTAGTACTAATTCTAGTATGGAGCAATTTTTCTTGTGTTGGGAGAAAGACGGATCTTAATATTTCTATATAATAGTAGATATTATTCTTCAAATTCACATACTTGAGCTAAAATTTATTTAACTTTTATCTGCTTTTACAGTTAGACATTATTTAATTTAATAACATCTATCTATCTTGTACTACATATTAACTGTTTATTAATTCTGTAATTGAGAGAGGCGAAAGAAATAATATAGTTAAGTGTAGTATTGATAAATGTTAATATTTATTCAGTAACATCTATCTCTATTATGTTATAATTAATTTTACACTTATTTATAATCGAGAGAGGCGAATAGTGTAATAATCAGTTATAACAAGTAGGGTAACCGAAAGGGACTTACTAACAAGAGCGTGTTTTAGTTCAATCATATATTTCTGGTTCTTCAATATTACTAGTTTGAAGATTAATTTGTATAACCGAGAGGAGTGCAATTAATTATTCAACTTAAGTAATAATATATATTTGTAATCGTGAGAGGCATTTATACATTTTTGAGAAATAGAAATTGAAGAATAATAATTCTATTATATAATAGAAATATTAAGTGAAGTCAAGATCCCAACACCTTTTTATTATATTTGTGAAAAAAATATATTTTCTATTGCTCTATTCATGCATTTTTAGTTAGTTAATTTACAACTCAACTCTTTCTAATTTTCTCAAATATAAATTAAAATAAGAAACGTCTGTAGAATAGATAAACCAATCTTTGTGGGTTCGACATCTTTCTATACTATTATTTGACAGAGTACGAGTTAGAATTTTATATACGCTAGACACTCGTCAAATTTTTGGCGCCGTTAATTGTACTACAGATTAATTGTTTTACTACTAATTTGAGATTATCTTTTTTTTGTCTAATTGTTTTAACTTTTCTGCAGAAATTCAGAAAGTGTATGACCCGTTCCTCTTCTAGAGAATTAGTCGAATACGATCCTGAAATTGAAAAATTCTTACGGTTGTTGCGAAAAGAACAAACCTTATGATCTCAAATTTTCACATTAGAGGAAATGGAGAGCGAAGAACTCAATAACCAACTTCCACCACATCAAGTAGAAGAGCAGTTTGATGAGGTGGCACCACGATGTGATAGAATACTCCGTGATTATGCAAGGCCAGATCATTTTGAAGGAGAATCAAGTGTGAGAAGACCACCAATTACAGCAAACAACTTTGAAATTCGCACAGGCTTGATTCAAACCATTCAATAGTCATGTCAGTTTGTTGGTGATGCAAGTTAAGATCCTCACACCCATCTAATTGATTTTCTTGAATTAGTCAAAACTTGCAGGTACAATGAAGTTACAACAGATGCTATCAGGTTGTGGTTTTTTCCTTTTTTATTAAAAGGTGAAGCCAAAACATGGTTGCAAAGCCTGCCTAGAGGTTCCATTACAACAAGGGACCAAATGACCCAAAAATTTCTTAATAAATATTTTTCACATGCAAAAACAATTAAAATGAAGCAAAAAATCAATAATTTTATGCAGATAGGTACTGAATCTGTATACCAGGCATGGGAAAGATTAGCAGTAATGTTAAGAAGATGCCCACATCATGGTATCCAAGACCCTGATATTTTATATATTTTCTATCACGATCTTAAATCCTCTATTAGAAATGTAATTGATGCAGCATCAAGAGGATCAATAATGGGAAAAACTACTGCAGAAGCAATGCAATTGCTTAATGAGATTTCAAAAAATGCTGTTCAATGCTCAGACAGAATGATTATCAAGAAAATAGCATGAGTAAATCAAGTTGAAGCTTTGAATTCATTGACACAACAAATTGCGAACTTAACACAAAAAGTTGAGGCCTTTCATGTAGGTTCTCACTCATCATCCCAACTTGAGAATTGTGATATTTGTCAAGGTAATCAGCCTAATCATAAATGTCAAGCTTCAACACAAAATGAGGAACATGTAAATGTGATTGGTTATAGAAATAATTACTCATTCGGTAGTTCCATGGCATAAAAACATCCAGGATTTCAATGGAGTAATCCTAATGGTGTTGAAAATCCTCAAAGATTTTTTAATCAAAATCAGCAGGTACAGGGACCACCTGGTTTTCAAAATCAAAATAGAGGGCAACAAAATTTTCAACAATATCAGCAGCAGCCTCAAAAAGCTCATCAACAAAGCCTTGAAGACTTGATGTACAAATTCATTAAGGCTACTGATGAGAAGGTTGAAAGTCAACATTCAGCTATCAAGAATTTTGAAATTCAGGTAAGCCAATTAGCAACCCTCATGTCTGGACAAATTCAAGGTGCTCTACCAAGCAACACAGAAAAAACCCCAAAAGAACACCTCAAAGCCATCTCTCTACGATCAGGTAAATTTCTTGATGATCCATATGGAGATAGAGAAGAAAAGCCACAAGAAGTAGAAAAGGTAAATGAAGGTGAGAATAAAATGAAATCTAAGTTTCCAAAAGAAAAATAGAATAAAGGGAAAAATGTACAAGAAAATGAATTGATAACAAATCCTTACTCTATATCTCTCCCTTTTTCCCAAAAGATGAACAGAGAAAAGCTTGACAAACAGTTTTCAAAATTTCTAGATATTTTGAAGCAACTTTACATTAACATCCCTTTCACAGATGCTTTGACACAAATGCCTTCATATGCTAAATTTCTCAAAGAGATTTTGTCAAGTAAAAGAAAATTAGAAGAAGTTTCAGTGGTTAAGCTTACAGAAAAATGTAGTGTTATACTTTAAAATAAGCTCCCACAGAAACTTGGTGATCCGGAAAGTTTTATAATTTCTTGTACCGTGGGAGGTGCTCATTTTGAAAAGGCGTTATGTGATTCAGGTGCTTCAATAAATCTAATGCCTTTTTCAATTTTCACGAAATTAGAACTTGGTGAAATGAAAGATACTGGTGTGTCTCTTCAATTAGCTGATCAAAGTACTAAGAGACCAAACGAAATTATTGAAAATATCCTTGTTAGAGTTGACAAATTTGTATTCCCGATAGATTTTAAAGTGCTTGAAATGAAAGAAAATACTGAGGTACCATTAATTTTAGGTAGACCATTCTCGCAACAAGGAGAGCAATTATTGATATTCATCAAGGACAATAAATATTGCGTTGATGAGGAAAGAGTGATTTTTGACATGCAGAAAATGATGAAATTTCCTAGGGATGAGTCATCATCATCTTGTTTTCAAATTGACTTACTAGATGATCTTGTAGATGATTACAAAGATAATCAGTTAATTAGTGATTCATTGGAGAGATGTTTGGCTAGGTCAGGTACCATAAGTGATGATAACCCCATAATTAGAGAAGTAGCTGAAATA